AGCAATATCAACACTCTGGTTCCAAAAAAAGTCAGACAGAGGACAAAGGAATAGTCTCCAGCATCGCCTGGTAATCAGTATTATGAAAATCAAACAATCATTCAGAATCCGTCAAATTCAGACCTTCTTTGGAAATAAAGCAGAGAGGGGAAATAACATAGCACAGCCTGCAGGATTTTTTTACTCGGCCATCCATCTGTGAGCTTCTGTGCGATGTCTCACTGCATAAAACTCAGATTAAGCCTGGGTTCACACTGATGCAGTGCGGCATATTGCATGTGATTCGCACAAGAACCGCACCGCATTCCTGTGCAAATCACGTGCAAATTCTGTGCGGTGCGATTTGAGCCATACATTTTGTATGGCTCTAATCGCACCGCACCCGCACCAAAAAGGTGCAGGGCCATTTTCTTTCTTCGCACTAGAATCGGATCGCATGGGTGTGAATACCCATACGATCCGATTGTAGTGCGGGCAAAAAAAAGGGTCCTGCACCTTATTAGTGTGGATGCAATGCGATCCGATTCTGAATATCGCACCACGTTTTGCAAATCAATTTTGGGGTGTTGTTAACATACACACCACCGCAGCGGTTCACATGAGTGGGGTGCTATTGTGATGCCAGAAACCCAGGCTAAAGCCTAAATGAACATTCAGTTTAAATCAGCTAAATACATTTTAGGTGCATCAAAACAAAAGGTGTTCAATATAAAGTATTAGTTTTTTTTTCTAAAGCAGCTACAGCCTGAGTAGAGAAACATGTCCCTTGCCAGCAGCTTTGAAGTTGACCCTTCGGGGTTTATTTACTAAAGCTGGAGAGTCCAAAATCAGACTCCCTTCTGCATAGAAACCAATCAGCCTCTAACCTCAGCTTGTTCAATGAAGCTTTGGCAATGAAACCTGGAAGCTGATTGGTTTCTATGCAGAAGGGAGTCTGATTTTGGACTCTCCAGCTTTAGTAAATAAACCCCTACATGTCTATTAGGAGTAAGTGGTCTTTCTGCAGAGGACCGACCTGCCCCCTAGTGAGTCAGACCTAAAGCTCTGCAGTCAGCAAAGATCATGCCCCCTGCTGATTGGGGAGCTCAGCTAGGGATGTGTCAGATCTCTGCGTATGGATCACTGCTTGCTGGCAGGGGACAGGTTTTTCTACTTAAGCTGTGACTGTTTTTTTTTTTTTTTTTTTTTAAGAAAATAAGTTAGACTTTGTGCACATTTTGTTTTGATGCAACAGGAAAATATTAAGCTAATTTAAACTGAAGGTCCAGTCGGACTTTAGGGATTTTCTGACCTTACCACAATTATGGTGTTACGAATACCTTTTGCAGTTCACTGAAATATTTGATGTGCTGCTTGGAACTGCTCTTCTACCTGATTTTCAGCTGAACGCCAGGAGCCTGTACATCCTAACTACAGACTTCAGCAATAATTGAGGTCATTGTAAGGGAAACACAGTTGCAATATTAACAAATACCTGTGAAAGGGAATGATTCGCTGCTATAATTGTTCTTTCTTCCTAAATAATATATCAGGATTAGATATGGTACACTGGATAATATAAATTATTAAATTCAATCTGACACACTACTGCAAGTTACACTTGAACTTTGTTATGATGTTAGCCTTCCATTTAATATTTAGTGTGTGAATTGTATTCTTTCATCCTATTATATGATCAGATGTGGCTTGTGGTAGTATCACATTGAGGTCATTATGGAAAAGGAGTAGAGTAGAGTTTTATTGGAATCTGAAAAAAAATGTATAGAGTTTTGTATGAACGTATTTATTTGCAAACCAAGAATTTTTTTAACATTTATTTTAGTCTAGTAATATTTAATATGAACATTTTGCAGTTACCACTGCATCCAATAGATGGCACAGTTGAAACACTTCTCCACTATCTTTGTTGGTCCATTGCACCACTTTCCTATGAATGGGCTGCAGCTTGATTTGGTATTCAGAACATACAGACAGCTGAATGAATCAGAGGAGCGACGTGCCCTGCCCCTCCTCTACCAACACATATGGCTCTGTGCAAAGTTTCAGTTGCACAGTAGTCAATATGAGCAGCTGCTGCTGCTCTTTCCTTTTAAAAGGCCTAGTATCCTGTGGTATGACCCTCCTAGTTAGGTGCTAGTTTACGTAAATGTAGGTCTTGGTTCCCTGTAATTAGTTGAGCTGCATGTGATTATTTTGGTCCGTTCTGTGTTTAACTGGCTGCAGGGCTGATTGTTTCCCCCTGTCTGTCTGGAGGGTTCTGGAAGATAGAGGGCTGGGAGAGTCAAATCAGAAGCTGAATATTTATGCAGTCCTAGCCAATCCTTGGAAGGTGATGCCCAGGTGGTGACTGGGAGGGAGTATAAATAGCCTGGAGCCTGAAACAGAGGGGTTCTTGTCCTAGAGGTGATACCAGCCTGGAGTGCCCTTCTGGGAAGGTCTGTCATGCCTGCTCCTGTTTGGTCCCACCTGTGCTTGCTTGGTGGGGGGGGGGGCTATTCTGTTGAAGTTTGCTGGAGCTGACTGAGGGACCTCTTTTTTTGAGGATCTGGTCTGAAGATTTCAGAGGAGAGGTGTCTGGAAGATATTGAAAGGAAGCATCCAATTATCCAAGGACATTAGTGAATACAGACTTGTGTGAGATCCCAGGGTGTGACTGTGTGCTGCTACTATCCCTTTTGCATTATAGTCAGTGTTGCTTAACCTCCTTGGCGGTATTCCCAAGTGTAGCTCGGGATAAGGTTTCAGTACCAAAAGCGGTAACCCCGAGCTACACTCGGGCTTACCATGCGGCGTTGCGCAGGGATTCCTTACAGCGCTTACCTTGTCCTTCGCTACCGCGATGCGTCCTCTGCAGTGTCCCCAGCCATCTCCGGCATGTGGCTTCCATGTTCCGGTCCCCGTGACGTCGGGACGTACGGGCGCCGGAACCGGTGGCAAATTTGAAAATTTTTAAAAAATGAAATTTTTTTTAAAACGATTATTTCATAGCAAAACATTCCTGTATCAAAGCATTTCACATACATTTTGTCCCTACTGCTTTGTCCTGTGCCCTGCCTGCATTTTGACTGTTCTTTTTGCCTGGAAACTTAGAAAAGTCCACGGCGTCCAAAAAGCATCCCTTTAGGTCAAAATCGGTTTTAGACCGGTTAGAGAACAGCGATAGTAAATCAGAACCACTTGCAGAATTGAGTGATAATGATTCATGGGGGAAATTCGTCATCAGACACTGAAAACGATTTTGCGACTTTGCTCAGCGATGTGCGAACTTGGCGCTACATTTCAAATTTCAGTGTTTTTGGTTTGATTATATTATTGAATTAAATTTATTATTATTATATTATTATTTTTTATGAGTATTTATAAGTAAGTAATTACTAAGAATTGCAGGCCTACAATACATAACACCAAATTTCCATGCAAAAAAATGGTACCGCTTTTTGGTACAAAATTCCTGACATAATCATACCACCAGGGAGGTTAAAGGGGACATTGTACATGGGGTCCTAATATAGCTCTCTCCGTTATTTGCTGCTGCAAAGGACTCTGTTCAGATTTTTCAGGAGGAAGATTAGTGTTACGTGTTGCTGGAGTATCCCATAGTTACCTTACACCCACCCAAGTTCAAGTTTTGCAAAAAAGCATCGAAAAAGTATATCCCTAGACCAATTACTGAGCGAAAAGTGTGACTGTGTGCTTGGTTGCTAGTACATCTACTGGGAAAGAACCTTGGCACCTAAACAGCAGACTGTTTAGGGGAGGGACACTACACTATACAAGTATCATATAATGGAAGTACCTTTATTTTACTGTAAAGATTTAATACAAACAAGTAAAAATATAAAAGACAAACATATAAACTTGTAAATTTTATTTTCTAAACAATACCAGTTATACTTTCTATGAAGGTCCATGTTCAGGCACTCCAACTGCAGGGTGATAACACCCTGCCCCTGTATTTCAAGTGTACTTCAGCCTGGTCACCGTGTTACATAGGCACCCAATAAAGGCTCTGATGGTTGTTTCAATGCATATTACCTATGCGCAGTCCGCTGTTTTCACCATCAGAAAACCTGCACTGAAAAGTGGCATGTATGGTAGCTTTTGCTGAAGTGCACGCAGACAGGTGGCAGGAGATCAGCAACGATTAGATGCAACAAAGATAAAAGAATATGTGAAAACTGTTGTCTTTTGAATCAAACATGGCAATGGTTTATAATACAAAGTGCTGTAGTGGCATTTTTGTCAAATAAGCTGAATTTCTCCACAATGCTTATAGCTACAGAGGTGATGAGGGCTTATATTAACGTGTTTACTGCTCATTCAGAATGTTAATGCTTTAATGTACAAAGTCAGGGCTCAGGTTCACATTAAAGTAAATCATGTTATCACTGTGTGTTATTTACAGTGGCTAAATGGTTCGCACTTCTGCCTGGCAGTACTAGGGTCGTTGGTTCGAATCCCAACCATGGCACCACCTGCCTGGAGTTTGCATGTTCTCCCTTTGCCTGCGTGGGTTTCCTCCGGGTACTCCGGTTTCCTACCAAACTCCAAAGACATGCTGGTAGGTTAATTGGCTCCTGTCTAAATTGGCCCTAGTATGTGTATGTATGAATGTAAGTTAGGGACCGTAGAATTTACGCCCCTTGAGGGTTAGGGACTGATATGAAAGTGCAAGATATATGTAAAGCACTGCGTAAATTGACGGCGCTATATAAGTACCTGAAATAAATAAAAATTTGCTTTAACCACTTGCCTACAGGGCACTTTATACCCCCCTTCCTGCCCAGGCCAATTTCCAGGCTTCAGCATTGTCGCACTTTGAATGACAATTGCGCGGTCATACAACACTGTACCCATATGAAATTTTTATCATTTTTTGTGACAGATAGAGCTTTATTTTGGTGGTATTTAATCACCTCTGAGTTTTTTCTTTTTTCTTAAACAAACCAAAAACCACTGAAAATTTTTTAAAAAAAAAAAAAGTTTTTTCTTAGTTTTTGTTATAAAATTTTGTAAATAAGTGATTTTTCTCCTTCACTGATATGCGCTAATGAGGCTGCATTGGTGGGCACTGATAGGATGCACTGATGGACACTGATAGGTGGCACTGATGGGCACTGATGAGGCATTGGTAGGTGGCACTGATGGGAATTGACAGGCATCACTGATGGGAACTAAAAAGGCAGCACTGATACATGGCACTGATAGGCAGCACTGATAGGCGGCACTGATATGCGACACTGACTGGCACTGAAATGCGGCACTTACTGGCAGCACTGACTGGCACTGATAGGCGGCACTGATAGGCGACACTGACTGGCAGTGATAGGTGGCACTGATTGGCATTGATAGGTGGCACTGACTGGCACTGATGGGTGACACTGAAAGGCAGCTCAGATGGGCACTGATATGTGGCATTGATGTGCACTGGTAGGCAGTGATTTGTGGCATTGATGTGGCACTGATGGGCACTGGCACGAGGCACTGATGAGCACTGACACAAGGCAGTGATGGACGCTGACAGGTGGCCCTGCTGGGGCTACACTGATCATCAGGGCACACTGATCATCAGTGCTCTGATGATCTGTGTACATGTCCCCTCCGTGGAAAGCCGATTACCGACTCTCCTCTCCTCTTGAGCTGTCAGCGTGACAGCTCAAGAGGAGAGAAATGCCGAAATGCATCTTCAGTGTGGGCACCCTGGCTGTGATAGCTTGTGGCTTCACAGCCAGGTACCCACTGCGCATGTGCGAGTAGCGCTGCGCTTCATGAATGGTCCTGTAGTCTTCTGAGACCTGTCACGTGTCCCAAAAGACTTCAGGGAGGGAGGGAGGACACCTTCCGCTTCCAATTACCTAGGCCAGGGGTTGGCAACCTGCGGCTCTCTAGTTGTTGTGGAACTACATTTCCCATGAGGCATTGTAACATTACAAAACTGACAGTTGCAGCTATGACTTGCAGAAGCATGATGGAACTTGTAGTCCTGCAACAGCTGGAGAGACGCAGGGTGCCTACACCTGACCTAGGCGATCGGACGATCGGACCGGAAGTGGGAGTGGGGACCTGTCAAATTTGGGTATCCGCCCCCAAAGGTGCCAATCCTTAATGGGGAGCGGGGGAGCAGTCCTTGAAACGGAACTTCCCCTTTTGGGTGGAGCTCCGCTTTAATTCATCTAAAAAAAGTAAATTGATCTTATAATTTTTCTTTGCTTAAAAGCTCTGGGGTTCAATTGATGGTGGGACATGTGACCAAAGTCTTGGCATTAGTCATGTGATCTCACCTGAAAGGGTTTAGGGATCTGATGTTCAGATAGGGTCACCCAATCAGTGACAATACCCTAGCAGCTCTGCACCCCTTAACCACTTCCCGCCCACTCACAGTAGAGTTACTGCAAGCAGGTGGCAGCTGCAGGCTCAGCAATGTACATGTACGTTGTCACCTGCTTCTGGGGTTTTGAGCACTTGTGCGTGCACCCCCTGTTAACCTGTGCTGTGATTGGACATAGCATGAGTATGTCAGCAGGTTTCAGCCAATGATTTTGGCTTGAACCTGATGATTGGCTGGGTCCAATAACAGCACAGAGGTCTGTGTTTACAAACACACAGAACTTTGTGTACACAGAACAGTGATCTGGCTGTTTCTTCTCCCTGAAATGCAGTGATAAGAAAAACAGCCATATTAGTAGTAAAAGCAGCACATATTACACACATTACACTTGTTAGGCACATAGTTAACCCCTTGATTGCCCCTTGATGTTAACCCCTTCCCAGCCAGTTTCATTAGTGTTATAACTGATCACTGTGTTAGCGGTACTTGTGATGTCAGTTAGTTTCCCTCCCAGCCAGTGTCTGTAAGCACCAGATTGCCCGCTACACTTTCACAGTCCCACTATAAATCGCTGATCACCACCATTACCAGTATAGTGTCTATAGCTGCGTACATTTCAGTATATATAACATAGTTTGCAGCCCGTTAACTTTAACACAACCCAATTAATAAACACTTCTTGGGATTTTTTTTTGTAAGTAAGACATGTAGCAGACATTTTGGCCTACATTTATGAATACATTTTATTTTACTTTTTTTATTATTGGATATGTTTTATAATAAAGTGTAAAATATTGTTTTTTTTTTCCCAAAAATATGCAGTCTTTTTTCATTTATATAGTAAAAAATACAAATTCTTGTATTTAAAGAGGTATAGACTCCAGAGAGAGAGATATCATATTACCCCGGTACAAATCATTAGTAAGACCTCATCTGGAATATGCAGTTCAGTTTTGGGCACCAATTCACAAAAAGAACATTGGGGAACTGGAGAAAGGGCAACCAAACTGATTGAGGCATGGAGGAGCTCAGCTATGAGGAAAGATTAGAGGAACTGATTTTATTCTCTCTTGATAAGAGGAGATTAAGGGGGGATATGATCATCATGTATAAATACATCAGTGGTTCATATAGTGAACTCGGTGTATAGTTATTCGCCCTGAGGTCATCACAGAGGAAAAGAAATTTCATCTCCAAACACGGAAAGGTTTCTTCACAGTAAGAGCTGTGAAAATGTGGAATAGACTCCCACAAGAGTTGGTTCTAGTCAGCTCAGTGTATCACTTTAAAAAAGTCCTGGATTCTTTCCTGGATACACAGAATATAACTGGATACTAACATTTATAGGTAAAGTTGATCCAGGGAATATCCGATTGCCTCTCGGGGGATCAGGAAGGAATTTTTTTCGCTGCAGGAGCAAATTGGATCATGCTTTGCTGGATTTTTTGCCTTCCTCTGGACCAACTGTTGGTGTAGGATTATAACTTTTTTTTTTTAATAGTTGAACTGGATGGACTTTTGTCTTTTTTCAGCCAGACTAACTATGTAACTATGTAACCCCAGTTGTGATCAAATGCCACCAAAAGAAAATAAATAGTATAAATTTCATTTGGGTACAGTGTTGCATGACCGAGCAATTGCCAGTTAATGTAGCACAATGCTGAATAGAAAAAAAATCACTTGTCATGAAGGGGGTAAAACCTTCCAGAGGTGGTTAAGAGACACCACTTGACCAGTTACTAGGCTTTAAAGTGTTACTAAACCCACAACAGTAAACTCAATCTGTATATGCAGTAAAGCAGGGGTGTCAAACTGGCGGCCCTCCAGCTGTTGCGAAACTACAAGTCCCATCATGCCTCTAAATCAAATCATGTAGGATCGGCAACAAGGTGAAGATGAACTGTAGAAATTTTATTCAGATGCGAGAAAAAATAGTTCCAGAATGCAAGCATCACTAACAGGTTTCAGTCAAAGTGTTGCTTGCATTCTGTAACTATTTTTACTCCGCATCTGAATACAATTTCTACAATTCATCTTCACCTTGTTGCTGATCCTACATGATTTGATTTACTGGTTGGAAACCGCGGACTCGCATGGTGAGATACATACTCCTTTTGGAAAACATGCTATGAGGATTGTAGCACCTATTCTTTGTATGTGTGACTTCGTATTCAACATGCATCTGCATTTGAGAGTCATGCTTGTAACTGTCAATCTTGCAATTCCTCATGGGACTTGTAGTTTGACAACAGCTGGAGGGCCATCAGTTTGACACCTGTTTAGTAAAGCATGCTTGTTATACTCACTGTGGAACCTAAGGGGTTAATCCTTAGCATTGTGTAAAAAGGATGTTTGATCATGTCTTCTCTGATCCTCCCTTTCTTCCAGTGTCTCCCTTTTATCACCTGATAAGACATATTGTGTGGAGACACTGCACATGCTCAGTTTGGTGTGTATTGCTAGAGAGTTTTTTTGGGGGTTTTTTCTTGGGAGAGTGCATGTGATCAGCACAGGGCCAATCAGCACTGTCCAGACAGAGGGCAAATGTTCTGCATCCTCCTAGAGCAAAATGAAAACTCCTCTTAAAAGCTTTAACATGTGCTCTGCTGGACACTGGTAGAAGTCACAAGACTGCTTTAACTACTGATGAGAAAAATGTATTTTATATTTATTAAAATAATTGCTTTTCCATGTTCTGTGTACTGTGGGAGACCAGACATAGTGAATGCAGGGTCCTGGGAGACCAGATATAGTGAATGCAGGGTCCGGGGATACCAGATATAGTAAATGCATGGTCCGGGGAGACCAGATATAGTGAATGCAGGTTAGGGGGACCAGATATAGTGAATGCAGGGTCCGGGGAGACCAGATATAGTGAATGCATGGTCCGGGGAGACCAGATATAGTGAGTGAAGCACGGTCCGGGGAGACCAGATATGAATGCAGGGCCCGGGGAGACCAGATATAGTGAATGCAGGGCCCAGGGAGACCAGATATAGTGAATGCACGGTCCGGGGAGACCAGATATAGTGAATGCAGGGTCCTGGGAGACCAGATATAGTGAATGTAGGGCTTGGGGAGACCAGATATAGTGAATGCAGGGCCCGGGGAGACCAGATATAGTGAATGCATGGTCCGGGGAGACCAGATATAGTGAATGCATGGTTCGGGGAGACCAGATATAGTAAATACATGGTCCGGGGAGACCAGATATAGTGAATGCACGGTCCGGGGAGACCAGATATAGTGAATGCAGGGCCCGGGGAGACCAGATATAGTGAATGCAGGGCCCAGGGAGACCAGATATAGTGAATGCACGGTCCGGGGAGACCAGATATAGTGAATGCAGGGTCCGGGGAGACCAGATATAGTGAATGCAGGGCCTGGGGAGACCAGATATAGTGAATGCAGGGCCCGGGGAGACCAGATATAGTGAATGCACGGTCCGGGGAGACCAGATATAGTGAATGCAGGGTCCTGGGTTTAGTAACACTTTAATCATGTTGTTAGAACATCAAATTCTGCAGCAGAGGTATTTCACCTGTTATTTTTACAGTCTATGTTTATGAGAATAGGTTTCTTAGGTTCATATGGGTCTGTTTTAGGAAGAAAATCATCCTAAGTAGTTAATTCCTGCTGATCTATTGGGCACTGAATGGTAAGATTTTCTTTTCAGCGTTTTATCCTCTGCGATTTCCACAACCAACTTCATATAAAGCATTCTGGCCTTCTGTCTTCCGAAACTGTTATCTTAAGGTTCCAGTCAGTTCTAGAAATCCCCCAGAGTTTTGGCATGCTGTATCTAATAACATTTAAACATTGGCTGCATTCTATTGATATTACAGCTTTGACTTTAATAACCTCCACAAGACAGTCAAAGAACAGCAAGGTTATAGACGCCTTGTTAAAAGTTTCTTTTATGATAAAGTCACACCAAAATGGTATTTAGTTTGTGCCATGGTAGGGAATAAATAAGTAATGATATTCTTTTTGTGGGAAAGAAAGTAGAAAATGTCGTCTGTAGATACTAGATGCCATCTGTTATGGCCAGTGTTTTCCTAGACATAAAAATCAGTTTTCGGGATCATTCATGTTTAGATTTATGGAAGGATGAAAAAGGGACACACATCCAACATCTCCTGTTTTGAAGTATCAGAGGAAATGCTAATTGGCCAAAATCTCCAAGATCCTTTCAAAATTGCCCAACCAAGAAGATTGTTTTTTAACTACATGCCTGGAGCTTGCATGTGCCTGCGTGGTTGTCCTCCGGGTACTACGGTTTCTTCCCACACTCCAGGGACATGCTGGCAGGTTATTTGTCTGTCTAAATGGTTAGCACTTCTGCCTGGCAGCATTAGGGTCATTGGTTCGAATGCCAACCATAGCAGCACCTTCCTGGAGTTTGCATGTTCTCCCTGTGTCTGTGTGGGTTTTCTCTGGGTACTCCGGTTTCCTCCAACACTCCAAAGACATGCTGATAGGTTACTTGGATCCTGTCTAAATTGACCTTAGTATGTGTATGTATGAATCTAGGTTAGGGACCTTAGATTGTACGTCCCTTGAGGGTTAGGGACTGATGTGAATGTACAATATATACATGTAAAGTGCTGCATAAATTGGCGGCGCTATATAAGTACCTGAAATAATAATAAATAAATTGGCCCGAGTATGTGTATGTATGAATGTGTCAAATTTGTTTCTCCACTATTTTGTGTCATACTAATACAAACAAAAGAAATAAACACGAGAATGCCAAAACATTTGTAATTGCAACAAATTGTCTGGGTGAAGTGGTGCATTATCTGACAGAAATGCAAGTGTGCCAATATTTCTGGCCATGACTGTATTTCCTTTTTTATGGCGGCAGCAGTATTTTTTCCTTTTTTGGATAAAGGTTTTACATAAATAAATGAACACTAACCATTGTAAGTATTGTTAGTGTTAAATGATGTATCTCAACCTTCCAACTTACATTTTTGCTGGACAGCTTGGACTGTTAAAGGAAGATGAAAAATATCAGACTAAAATAGGGGAAAAAGCCTACAAAAATTAAACTAGCACAGCCACCATATCTAAGAATTGGTAATCTGATATACATTTAATTTTTGCTTTTGGTTTTTTTTATTGCAGTTTAAGCTGTTCTACTTTAATCTGAAAGAGGACCACTACTTATTTTTAACAATTTTATTTCACTGTCATTTTATTTAGGTGATTTATTACAAATATTACTGTAAAATCTTTAGAAATAAACATTTATCACAGTGCCCATCCATAATACTCCATACTTGGCTTTCTAATAGGAAGCCTAGATTTGTCTGTATGCATCTCTAAACTCAATAATGAAGACATTCTCACCTTTGCCAGGAGAATGGGAAAGGGACTGTCTGCTCTTCAGGTTTAGTTTTAGTACAACAGCTATGGAAAAAAGTGTTCAATGTTCTGATTCTGCGGGCAGCAAGTTGTAAATATCACATACAGTATTCATATGCATTATTTAATTTTTACTTGAAAAAGACAAAACAGTTAAAAAAATGTCATTTTTTGTAGTAAACATTGTACATTAGTAAAGAAAATGTACATATTGACCATGACATTTCCATCAAAATCAATAATACAACTATCAGTCCCTCCCCTCATGTCCCTCCCATCAAGGTACTAGGTGTAATCCTAGACTCTGACCTGTCCTTTCGGCCCAAAATCCAATTGCTGTCCAAAGCTTGTAGACTTCACACTAAACAATAAACACCAAGCTACTCAATCACTCCTGCTGCATTTGTTATCTCTCACCTTGACTATTGCAAAGCTTTTCTCATAGGGCTACCTCTCCGTAGGCTATCCACTCTTCAGTCTATCATGAATGCTTCTGCTACACTCATCTACTTTACCAACCACTAAGTGTCCACCACCCCTTCTGCTAATTCCTCCACTGCCTTCTGATTGCCCAGCAAAATAAATTCAAAATGCTAACAAACAACATACAAAGTCATTCACAACTCTGCCCCCAGCTACATCACTAATCTTGTCTCCAAATATCACCCAAGTTGTCCTTTCTAAGACCTCCTGCTCACAAGCTCTCTTGTCTCCACCTCCCATGCTCATCTGTAGGACTTCTACAAAGCCTCTCCCATACTCTGGAACTCTCTACCTTACTCTGTACAGCTATCTTCTACTCTAGCCATCTTTAGGCGATGCCTAAAAACTCATCTCTTCAGAGAAGCCTGTTCTGCCTCTAACTTACAACTGAACTTTTAACTCTTCCATCAGCTCATCCCCCACAGTTCTAGCCTTTTGCAACACTTGCCCCACTCTATTAGTTTGTAAGCTCTTATGAGCAGGGCCCTCTCAACCTTCTTGTATTTTATTGTATTATAACTGTACTGTGTCCCTTTTGATTGTAAAGGGATCCTGTCAAATAATAATAATAATATTAGCTGTTTTTCACTGTTGCAAGTGAAGTAGGTCATGTTGTATTTTGATATTTCAGCAATTCCTTCCATGGGAAGTTTTTAAATATTGAAATTTTATTGAATATACAGCCAACTACATGATATTATAAGAACTTAAAATAATTTAGCCTTTATTTTATCTTTCAAGATGATTTTTCAGTGCTGCTGTACGCTGTATAAATGGAATACACGTGCATAGGGTTGGTCGCTTCTCAGTGGGTTAAAGACTCCTTCAAGCGAGAAAGCTGTGTGACCTACATACCCTCTCTCCTCTTGCCGCTGTTAGCATAGTGATATTTGCTTTCTGAAATATCTTCCTCTTATGCCCTCAGAGCATTGCGGAAAAATGTGCCCATTAAAACAGAAAAGACAAACATTGCATATTCCCAAGACAAAACTCCCTTCTGCTTTGAATTTCCGTAATTCCGTAACGCTTTAAATGATTTTTTTCATAACTTACATAACTGTGTTATCCTCCCTTGTGCTTTAGTCCCATGTATATGGCTGGTGGTTTGTGACTGCCTTTGACATCAGGTAGGGATGGCACCTTGTGTGGGGTCGCAAAAGAGTCTCAGCAATGGAATGTGACATAAGGTTCTGGTCATCAGTATCATTTATGGAAAGTATGGCATACAGTAGGCATCGCAGGAGACACATATCTACACTGTGTGTGGCAATGGAGGACATTGAAAATCATTGAAAATTTTTAGTGAAATGTACAGTATACAACACTTAAAATAAAAAACACCACTGCAAGACTCACCAACACCTGAGGAGTGATTACATATATTTACATATACCAGACTATGTATGAAAGCTCCAAACACTGAATATGTAAGTACAAAAAAGTTTTTTCTTTTTTAAACTCATACTCAGAAAGTATTTTATTAAATTATCAAAATAGTCATATAATATAAAAAATATCACAGTCACTAAGACTTAAAACCAGACAACATTGTCTCTAAAAACATTTGCACCAAACTTTTCTATAGAAAAATATTGCCTTCTTTTTAATTTTGGTGGCAGAGTTTTTTTTGGTATCTGATTATTTTTGGTAATTTAATAAAGTAAAAATTTGGAGGTCTGTTTATAAATGTTTTGCACAAGGTATACACATTTTTTTAATTGAATCCAGTCGCAAAATGTGTTAATCTTGGGTGAAAGTTGTAGGAAACTTGTGTGTAAAACATAGGTAAAACTTTGGACTCCCAAACATTTTCAGACAACGTTGTTTGTAATTTTGGTGATGGTGATCTTTTTTTTTTTATACTTTATAAATATGTCATAAACTGTCATTTTTTAAAGCACAAACGTAATGAAGGATTTAAAAAAAATTCTTTTTGGGCTATATACAGTGCCTTCAAAAAGTATGCCGTGAAATTTTCCACATATTGTCATGTTACAACCAAAAATGTAAATGTATTTTATTGGGATTTTATGTGATAGACCAACACAAAGTGGCACATTTATTTATTTAAGGTAATTATAGAGCGCCATCAATTTACGCAGCGCTTTACATATATATTGTACATTCACATCAGTCCCTAACCCTAAGGGACATACAATCTAAGGTAACATAATTGTGAAGTGGAAAGAAAATGATAAATGGTTTTCAAAATTTTTTACAAGTAAATATCTGAAAAGTGTGGCGTGCATTTGTATTCAGCCCCCCCTGAGTCAATACTTTGTAGAACCACCTTTCTCTGCAATTACAACTGCAAGTCTTTTTGGGGATGTCTCTACCAGCTTTGCACATCTAGAGAGTGAAATTTGTGCCCATTCTTTATTGCAAAATAGCTCAAGCTCTGTCAGATTGGATGGAGAGCATCTTTGAACATCAATTTTCAAGTCCTGCCACAGATTCTCAATGGGATTTAGATCTGGACTTTGATTGGGTTATTCTAACACATGAATATGCTTTGATCTAAAAACCATTCCATTGTAGCTCTGGCTGTATGTTTAGGGTCGTTGTCCTGCTGGAAGGTGATCCTCTGCCCCAGTCTCAAGT